TATAAATTTTGGTATGTGTTGATTCTTGGATATTTCATCTTGGTCGTCCTGTACTTCGTTTAGTAATTCGAACTTCCCAGATTGCGTAAAAACGGAGAATTGCCTTGCCTTGGCTTAATTGTTTGCCGAGGAACGGCCGCTTAGATACGTGCTCTGTAACTTGCAGCACATGAACCTAAAAACGTCATGTAATCAAAATCACAAGAAGTTGACTATCCCTGATACGGGTATTGCTAAATCGCCAGCTGTGAACTTCATCAGGATTCCCATATAAAGTTACACATCATTCTAGCAAGGAAAAATATTGATTAATATTGTGCAGGTTATATAATGAAATAATTAATATTTCATTTTTGTTAGTGTATCTTTAATTTTATTTATTAAAACACGTACACATTACAACTAATTGGGATGGGAATTGCCAAGCCAATTTATAAAATTATAAACAAATATTTTCGTAAATAACACTGAGCGTGAAATACGCCCTTGAGAAGTGTTACTGACGGAATATTTTATATTGCAATTTCTTTCAATTTTAATTAGTTGTATTGCAATGCATTAGTAATAATGTAAATATATATATATATTTATACTTTTCTTTATTTCATTGTTGAGACTGAGTTATATATTTGTTACGTACTATAATTTATCTATATTGGAAAACGGTTATGGGGATTATTAATTTTAATAAAGCAATATTCAACTATCCTTTGCAACACCAATAAGATCATAATGATAATGTAATGTAAGCATGGGTCTTATTTTGGAACTCCTGCCAGAGCAACTGTACAAACCATAAAGGCAAATTAATAGCTTCTAAGGATGGTATTCCCAGAATAGCGCAAGTTGTTAAAGAAACATAAAACTTTAATTCTCAACAACGATGAAAGGACCAGTTACTGCGACAAAGCCCTATTCCCCGCAAGACCCCCAATACGAAACCCACTTAACTAGAAAGCCACTGACGGCGAAGCTACCGGTACTATTTATAAATAAATATGTTTATTAAACCTAAGGTACAGCTTTCTGCCCTTCACTGTACTATAACAACAAAACACAGACCCAAAGATTACAACTTAAGCTAGAGCTAAAGTTTAAAATTTCCATAATCAAAATAATGTACTTATTCAAGTCATGAAATAGTACCGGTACACAGTAGTGTAAATTTTTGCCATCCTAGCAGCAAGCAATATCGCAAGCATCTGTAAAGAAGATAAAAATTTCAAAGATAAAAATAACATCGTTGAAAAAAATTAACATTACAATTACAAAATAGTCATTATACCTCGTCTAGTTGTTTCTGTAGTTTTTCATTATCTGCTCTCATGCTACTCAACGTTAATTCCCCTTTACTTGTATCATTCATTCCGCCGAAACGAAAACTCAAAATTTGACCCAATATATATCCCACAATGCACCATTACTGACCCTGTTTGTTGGTTTGCTGCTTCCTTCTATAATTTGCCAATGCGCATGCTCTTTTGTAAACAGTTTTTCCGGAAGTGCAGTGCACTATAGCTGTTGTTGATAGATATATAGTATTTTTTGCAGAATTTGTTTGTCAACATGCCTAGTAAAAAGAAAAAATATAACTCAAGATTTCCACCGGTGAGTGTGCATGAAAATGAATTTTATAATATTATTATATTTGTCAATTGAGTGTTTGTAATACTGAATTTCCTGTGAAATTGTTAGGCACGAATTAAGAAAATAATGCAGACGGACGAAGACGTTGGCAAAGTAGCAGCTCCAGTACCAGTACTGATATGTATCCTTTTCTAACCTTTTCATTTGGTGGTCCCGTATTCAATTTGATCGTGCAAAGTGTTCGGCAATAAACTCCGAATCGGCGAAGCACGCACAGTTCATCGATACTTTGAAGACAAGGTATTGTGAACGACCTTTTACCTCGTCATAAACTGATCGACACTCGGGTTAGCCTCAGAATCAGCTGATGCACCAACCGAACAAAAAGCTAAGGATATGATCCCAGCATTTGAAAATAAACCTGCAGAGAAAAAATTCATGGAATCGTTACAGAATGAAAACATTATTATACCAGTAGCACAGTTCACAAGTAAAAGCTTTGAAGTCAGGAAGCAGGGTCTTACTTGACATCTTAATGCCTGCTGTCAATTTAGTAATTTTATATAGTTAGTATTTTAGAGATTTTGTATTATTTAGTAATTTAGTGATTGTATTTGTTATTTAGTATATTGTTTTTATATATATTTTTCTCCCTGTACTTTGTGACCATTTTATTTCCCTCCGGGGATTGTGTAAGAGTCAATAACTTAAGTAAATATTAAAATAAAGATACGATTGACGTCCATGAATGATACACAGTTTCCAAATCAATTGAAAAACAGCGAGTGAATGAATTAATGAATGACGAAATCAATGAATAATTTTAAAAAAAATCAAGATTAGGACCTTTATTAGATGCTGTTGTACTCAGACTGACATGTTTAATAGTTCAGGCAGTATTGTGTAATATAATTTACATGTTTTGTCATAATTTTTACCATTTCTTAATAAAAAGTAATTCCCTCCAGCGTTTTTTTGTAATTTTGATAAAAATGCCCATAAAATGTAAAACCTATTGATGTATTTTGTAACAAAAATAGTGTACACATAAACATTCTAAACTAAAATAAAATAAATTTCGCTTTGGCCAATTAAGCCAAGGCAGTCAGTATTGAACATGGGTCTGTTCCCTCAATACAATCACTGTTTCCATCTAGACTCACACTGAATGGTAGGTAAAACAATTGTTTATCAGCAACAAAAATTACACATACACAGTTGCCACTACAGTAGTCTTTTGAATGCTTTCAATACTGTACACTATTGTTGTATCAATACATGTATCATATTTGCATATTGATGAATCAGTATCCCACAAAAGTGTCATTGAGGGAAGTAGGTCAATGTCATTCTGTTGATACTAATTAAAAAAAACCAGGATAGTACGTTAATCTCTAAAAAGTAGGGTATGTTCGCTGGTGTTAATTGATGTGTTCAAGCTAATTGCTTTTTTGAGCTGGCTCCATACAAAACACCTAAAAAGTCTTTTCAGTGAAAATTAATTCTAGCTAAAATCATGGAGGTAGAAAAGAGAAGGAGTGAGGACGCTATTGTTTTTGCTGGTTTCATGATGCTTTGGATTTGTTTACTCAGTACACATTATAATTAGTTTGCAAACACACTGTACAATGTCACAGTTAATCGGCTTATTTGTTTCCTCTGTATTCAGAAGCTTCACGAAGATTCTTAACGCACTACGCATGCCCAAACAGATAACAATAATACAAAATGCAGCGAAAGGCATACACTGAGTGTACTCAATGCCCGAAATCTATTACAACAAAATGCGCGATTTTCGACATCTGCACAGTTCTGCACACCAATGAAACATGACTCGTCAAAACATCTTGTTATAATCTTATTATGTATCTTTAAATTTCACTGCGGAAATTTGCGGGATTTTTTCAATCAATGCCCAAAGTTGGACGACTATTGCGATGAAAAATATCAGAAAATAAGTAATCACACATCTTGGTAGCGTCCGTATGCAGAATTTCTGATATCTACAAGTGTGAAATGACCTTTGTGATCCGATAAAAGTCATTGCGTATGCACAATTCTTTTATTTATGGTTTGCGCATTCAATTTTATAGACGATGTTTAAACGGAATTTATTTTTTTCAGTTCTACTCTCATTTTCTTGTGTAAATAAGCAGCTATCATCATGTAGATAAAACTACTTCTAAACAAAAACAATTAGTGGCTTAACCAGACCGAAGACAAAGAATGTTTATAAGATTAACTTGGGCTTAAATAGCGTCCTCACTCCTTCTCTTTTCTGCCTCCATGCTAAAATAAAGTATTTTACAGTATTACCTTAAACTGTCACTATAGTAACATAACTCGTCCATCAGTTTTCATCTTCTAGACATACTAGTACTGGGGGGAGTCAGAAGAAGACAAATGATTCTTTGTTTTAATGGGGGGAAGTTAAAAAACATGATTAGTGTGGAAGAAAGTGTTAATCTGAAATAAAAACATTGTGGGATCTTGTTTGTGACAGGTGCTGACAATTGGGAAGGTGGAGATCTATTCTATACAGGAAGCTAATCTATATATTATTCAAATACGAACAATGCATCATGGGAGTATCATGATAGGGATTTCATTTATAAAATTAGCAATGAAGACATGAATGTTTTTTATATAAAATATTTATAAATGTGAATTTCAAATGATGGTTTGATGGTTGAAAACAACTTAGTAAATATTTAGCTCCAATAATGAATATCTTTTGCATACATGGTAATAAATTGGCCAATGATTGAAAGAAACCTGCAAAGACTCTTGGGTAAATTACCTTCTATCGCAATAAAACCATCCTTGGATTCAAATGAAGTGTGTGTTTGGGGGTCTTCTGGGGTAATTGTTTTATAAATTTCTATTTTTGTGACTTCTTGAAGCATATTGTTATTACTTATATGTGGCAGGCAAACTAAAACCATTGTCTTCCTCTTCAAGTGAAAGACAAAATTTTTGTATTAGAGAAAATTTCTGAAGACATGAAAACACAGCAAAATTCATACAATTTTGTTTTCACAGGTGCAATAAAAATTACAAAATAGTGACAATAAATTTGTTTACAGTATATCATACCATGGAGTTTTTTGGAAAAATTTATCATGGCACGCAAGTCCATAAATTATGAATGTACATGCATGTCTGAATGAATGTACATGTTTTGCTTCCCGTCTTGTTTCCATGCCCTGTCTAGTACAACATGACTGGAATGATACATGCATAATATCTTCTGTTGGTATGAATAAAACCTGGACGATAGTTATACAGGTACATGTAAATTGTATGTGTTATCCTTGATTTGAAACATGCAGCCAAGGCCTTGGAAATCTTTGTGAAGTCACTCATCACAAAAGCAAATGAGCAGACACAGAGCCGGAATGCTAAAACCATGACAACTGCTCACATGTAAGTGTTGACTTATTCCTTGCCATATTTGTCTGAGCATTATTTATCAAAAATAAGTCCATTTCTTGTCAGCATACTGTAAACTACAGGTATGTACAGAAGTAGTATGGCTCATCTGAAGAGAATTTATTTGATAGTTTAACCCAAATTTAGCTATAAGACTTCTATCTTTCCAAATTAACAAAATTCATTATTTAAAAGCGACGACTACGTAATTACTGTAAACATTTAGCCTTACTATGTATAGTGTAATTATTTACAAATGCCTCATTGCTGCAAAATACATGGCAAGGCTAACATCTGAAATGGCTGTGGTGTGTGGTTAATATTATTTTTGATGCAAATAAATAAATAAGGCTTGATATAGACTGGGGACAAGCTGTTAAGTATATTCATTGTCTCCTATTAAAATATTTATTTTCCCAGATCGATCTAAAAATGGAACTAAGTTTCATAATCCAAAGTATACTGTTCATAACAATAGGGGTTACATCCTTCCCAAGGCTCTTAGCACAGGCCTTTATAGTAGCACCAGCATGTGCAGAGGAAGGCTCACGGAACAATGAGTGTTCACATATTGATAGTACCAGGCAGTCAGTTTTTAGAGATATACTAAAAGTCAGTTGTGCATCTACAGGTGAGCTTGTAAATTCAAATAATTGTTTAAATTTATGTGTCATACTTGATCATAGTTCCGGGTTTTTTGTGAAGATAAAGTATGGTACTATTTACGACTTTGAGTAATTTTATGTTTGAATAATTTGTGGATAGTGCATAGTTTGGGTTTTGCCAATCATTGGAGTGTGTCACCTATGGTAGAATGAAGACATATTTATTGCACACAGTGTTGGAAAATTAACCAAGATGACACATACTTATGGCAGTGAATTTACTAGTTTGCCTGTAAATACACAATTGGTTGTGAGCAGATCTCTAAAAACTGCTATGAATATGTAAACATTTGGTGTTTGAGTATAAAGACAAATGTGCAATTCTGATGACAGTCTTGCTTTCGATTAAATAACCAAGTACTCAATCAGTGATTCATTCATTTTGTTGTTAGAAAACTAGGAATATTGAATGAGAGTAAGTTTGATTTTCTGAAAGACTTGGTACAAAATATTCCGGATATTGCCGCCGAGGAGGACGAAGCAGCTGAACAGAAAACAAAACACAGGTAGGGCTTTAAGTTATTGTTTGTTGTAAGGAGAAATCTATTTTAAGTGTTTTTGGTTTGTCTGTAGTGAAGTGAAAAGAGAACCATAGGAATGGCAAAATGTCTGTCGCTGATTGTCATCATTATTGTCTGTTATAAGGAGAAATTAATTTGAAGCATTTTTATTTATATTACCATGGTAGCACATTAACTAGCATTTATGCATTGTGCTGAAGATTTAAAATATAAGATGTTCATGTAACATCATTTCATATAAAGTTGAAAATTTATGATAAGTGCATAATTTCAGGGTAACTTATTTTAGCTGGAATTTTGTGTGGGATTTATCTTCACTGACTTTTTATGACATAAATGTAAAAAAGGTATATTCACTGGATTATATATTCACCGAATCATCCCTTCAGCGAAAATAGCAAAAATAATGTATTTTACAGTAACTCAGTATTCTGACATTGTTTACCTTAAGCCTTATGCTACCATACATCTTAATTTATGTCACCACACCATACTCCAGTGTGTTTCACCATCATGCATGAAAGGAACATGCTATTTGTTTGGTTGGTTTGATTATTATTGAGTATCAATCAACTTGTTTGTTTGAAAAATGTATGGTCAACTAATTTTATGTATATAATATTTAGTTGCCAATATCTTATGCGTCTACTTGGGGATGGTTATGAACGAGAGTCATTCGTAGTATGAAAGTTAAAATATACAAATTCGAATCTATTCTGGGTGGAAGATGAATGGTATGGGAATCACACTGAGTTATAGTGCAATGACAGTAATTAACATGTAATGTAACTAGTGGGGTAGGCATTTCTTGACTTATAAAGGACTTTGTGGATTAATGGATTCCCCTATTACATACTGTAAATTGATTTCTTTATCAAGTATTTGTAAATCATTTTAAATGTTTGATTCTATGATTCTTTTGAAGTGTGAAAAACAGGAAAGTGCGTAATAACAAAACGACAAGATCATCAACAACTTCTGAGGAATCCACGGCAGAGGTGAGCATCATTAATGCTTGATACATTTTGTGATGGTATTTTGATCTGTCTGACCCATGTTATACAATGTGATGAAAATGTTTGTTTCACAATGGTATATTTATTGTGTGAGAATGCAAGTAGATTCTAGCACAATCAATAATAATAATATTTGCTTGTGAAAAACGAACACCTAAAGTAATTCCAGTGAGAATATAGGTTGTCCTCCATGCTTCCTTGTTTTGTGCCAGCTTTGTTAAAATCTCTCTGATTTGAAATGACACACATGCAGTAGAGTTAACTAACTAGTCACAGCCACAATACAACCATAACAAACCTGTTTTATACTCATAAAATTGTTTTTGTTAAAAACTGTTTTAATTTGAAATCAGTATCATTCAAATCCAAAGGGGATTGGTTTGGATTGCATTGGCTAGGAAGGCACCTCCCTCTATTCCGCACACACATCAGTCAGAGGGAAATTAATACAGTTAAACAGTCAATGGTTACACACTCATATAATGTGTAACTGCTGTTTTTTTTTTTGAGTTTATAAATATTTAGATTTATAAATAATTTATATTGTATATGGCATTGCTGACTTCAATGGGATATCCTGCTGATGATCTGAAATGAAATATTATTTCACTTTATTTTGATGTTTTTAAGCTTTCCACATAATGATTTGATCTTTGACCTATCTCAAACCACTTTTCAAAAACAGCATGCACTTGTTTCTTTCTTAAAATTTTGAAACGCTGTTTTTCTGTTTGTTTGTTCCCTTTAGGCTGATTCAGACGTCTCTGACGATGAAGAAACGATTGAGAAGCCTGTCATGAAAGTACCGCCGCAACAACCATTGGCAAGAACCCCTGCGTTTGAACATCATGCAGCTGGGACAAATACAGGTATCCCGCCTCATCCAAGTTCTAGTACCAGTACTTCTTATTCTACACCTCATTCTATGCAGACATCAACTTTACCCACAATGCCACAGATGCCTCATTTACCCTTGATACCGCAGCAGTCTTCGTATATTCCACAAATGTATCTGCCATCTGCGTCATGTAGTGCAATGGGTGTTTTACCAACATCAACAACAAATAATCAAGAAGATGATGATGATGACTATGATTCATAACACTTTTAAAAAACTATTACAAGATTTATAAACCTTTTTTTATATACATATATCGTTCCCGAGTTACTTGTTTGTGTTGAAGAGAAATGGGCATCTTTACTTTATTACTGAGATGTGAATCGATCTTGTTACGTGACCGGGGAATGGAGACATTCCAACAAAAGAATGTACAGGATTTGTGATGATTGTCGTTGATTTCTCTACTAGTGTTTTCTGGCTTAGAATCGGTTCATATTTATATGGATAGATACAAAAAAATGTAAGCTTGCTATTGAGAAATAACCCAGTGTGACCACATTTTGTTAGGTGTTCGGTTATTTCTTAAACTGACACACGAATGAAGCTTTGTCAATCGTAGGTGATAGTTGACATACAATCTATGAACGTTTTTTTGACCTCAACTGATTAACTGAGTAACTCGTAGTGGTTTTTCTATTAAAAAAAGATATTTTATAGAGGTAAGAGTGTTTGAATTTGCACACAAATAACATGAATTTATAGGCCTATGTAGGGAAGACCCTAAAACTACGGAGATCAGTTCTTTTTCAAGTCCAGCTATTGTAATGTTTCATTCAAATACCCAATGTGGGTGTATGTAACTATAAATACTAGTACTACAGCAGTGATGTTTTGTCGCCATTGTAACAATGTATGTGGAGATTTGGTCAGAGAAAGGTCAAAATATCCAAAATAAAATGAAACTGCCAATAAAATAGGATTATCTTGCTGCTGAGTCACCTGACATGGACCTTTAAAAGTTCGAACTGCAATTCAAGTATAGCATCTACTTTTATGTTTGATGCAGAAAATTGCAAAATTCAAATCATTTGATAATTTATATTTTAAAAATTAATATCAATACTATGTAGAGAGTGTCACCGATATTAAATAGTTTCACCTTAGTAAAAATGGTGCAAAGACAGAGATAATATCAATACTATGTAGAGAGTGTCACCGATATTAAATAATTTCACCTTAGTAAAAGTGGTGCAAAGACAGAGATAAAATGACAATTTTTATATCATTCATTAGAATTCCGACCATTTTCTGTAAAAAAAAATATTTGTTCATTAAAGTGGCATATTATAATACTGTAAAATATTTTATTTTAGCTGGAATTAATTTTTGCTAAAAATATGTTTATTTTCACTGATTTTTGATGAGTTTAACATATGAAACATATAGCATTTTCACTAACTCATTCCTTCAGCAAAAATAGCGAATATAAATTTCAATGGAAGTTAAGTAATTTACAGTATTGCAAGTATAAAAGAAGTTTTAGTTTCAATTTGGTTTGACTCTCTTCAATACATACTGTTCTTACTTTACTATTTCTGAGTTTTAAACAGTGCAAAGCAGTAAGCATTGCAGTTGCTATGGCTACAATACTATTGTATCAGGTTATTTGCATACATGAAGCAACCAAGTTGAAAGACACCTGTATACAATCGCATATAGTTAATTAGCTTATCAGAAAAATTAAAAAGATTGCTTTGTTTCTCTCCTTGTTTTGGTAAATTCATTGATGCACAAAATACAATAGAGTTTACATTGTATCATTGTTTTTGTTTCTGGTATGTATGTATGCATGTATTATTTGTGTGTGTTTTTCACTGCCATTTAAGAGACCTGACTGAAGTCTACATACTATTATATATAGGATATTTGCTGAATGGTAGTAATTTTAGTGCCTGGTATTCATCAAAATTGAGCGTTTTTTATCATTCCTGAACCTGATTTCTGTCATGCATAGTCAAATTTTTTTTTTTAATAAAATCAAACATTCTCTCATTCCGGAAACGGTTCAAATCAAACTTTATAAATAAGTTATACACCAGTTCTGATTCAAAAAAGGCCAACTTGTTTTATTACCTTGCCTGTAACATTAAAGATGGAAGGGAAAGGTATATTAAGGGAAAAATTTCTGTCCGGCGTTGTTGTCGTCATCGTCATTAATAATTGTTATTGTGTGCATAATAACTTTACTAATTCTATTCCAAACTTTATCAAACTTAGTTACCTTATTCATCAGTATAAAGTCTTCCTTGAGTATGAACGACAGATGTCCTGTATGAAAATATCATGCAAAAATTGAGAAAATCTGATAAAATATTTTGACTGTTTCTACTTGACTGATCACTGGTGATACACATTCAAAGGTCATTGATCTCAGTGGAAATATGCATTGTTGTCTGTGTTTAATGAAGCAAATCATTTATCTTGTAATAATATCCTTGGTAATGTATCTCCCAAATCCCGTGGGAATACTAGACTGGGTTTCAAAACCAACTCGTGGAGAGAGTTTTTGCACAGACTGATACACATTTGCAAACCTAAAATCTTTACAGAAAACAAGATTTCAGAAAATCAATATAAGCATTGCTATGAATTGGGTGCTGCATATTCATATTGAAACAAACTGATAATGGGATTATATATTATTATATAACAAAAGGCAAGGTCACCAGAGTAACTATGTTTTTGTTTATTTACAGGCGGAGATAATGGCTGATAATGATTTTAGAATCATAAGAGTTTGTCTAATCATAACTCAAAATTATTCTGGGCATAGACTATGTACTTTATAGTTGTTAATGTTATAGTGTCTGCACACATACACTGTGATAAAACAGCCACTACAACTGCTTAAGATGTTTACTATTACGGTATACAGTTTCCCGGTTTATATAGTGTATTTATCATAATTCCGCATATAGTTGATTTTTTATTCGATCACCACACAAATGAGCTACTATATGTTTTTACTCGGGATTCTACACAGAAATGACAATTTGTGAGCATATGTCAGCGAAACATATCTATCGTATTCGGACTTTTCTCCACCCCTCTAGTTATTATTCCCTCGTTTTCACTCGCCATATCTACCATTATTAAATAGCGCTACTCATATTTTTGATCTTAAAGCGCGGTGGTCGTCGCGCAGCGCGTGTTCGAATTTCATGTAAATAAACAATGTATTTTACACGCGTTGTATACGTTGCTATGAGTCCCATATCGAACAGGACGCGGCACGACGACTGCCGTCCTTTAACACATGATGCGTGTTTTTTTTCAGATCGCAGATCAGTCTTTCCACTTTAACAACAAGTTGAGCATGAATTAATATGTTCTGAATTCGTTTTACGCTTCTTTCTCGTACTACAAAAAAAATTCTGATCATCTTTACCGGGTTCTACTCGAGCAAGTTGAGCAAAGAGAACGAATTACGTGAGACAGGGGACCAAGTGCAAATAAATACAAATTTCGGCATTATTTTAGTAAATGGGAATTAGACAAGCTTGGTTGATTTACTGAACGTGAATAATACATCTCGGCAGTGTGTGTCGTTGTCGTGATTGGTGAGGTGACATTATTAGTTGTCTGAGGTTTAAGGGATATATGACGACTTTTTGAATTTACGTGTCCAAATCGGTAACTTTTCTAGTCCTTTATAATTGGTTTAAAGTGTATAAAATACTGGTTGATTGAATTACTGGTAGGGATCTACTATTGAACTTGAATGATCAAGTGAATGAGAAATGTTAGAATCTTTAGAGGACGGCCATAATTTAGCCTGGAATCCAGTCATACAGAATGTCCTTCCCATTGCACTCGACAATGACATGGTGAATTGTTACTTGACTACGTAGACGGCACAGAATTCTGTGCTATCACTGATTTGCTGTCTTCATGACTTCAGTGTATTACCATGGCAACTTACATGCACATACTCTGACCCGTACGTAAGGCCCGCCCACAGCCCTCCAGACTGATCACCTGTCTATTATTTGTAGATCCAAGTCTCACGATCATGATAATAGACTGTATCCAGCCATAATTTGACGTAATTAACATCCCAGTAAAAATGAATCTTGTCGTAATAAATACGAGAGAGAAAAATGATAACCATTTACTGTGAACAAAAACATAGTGACCTACGAGAAAGTACATATTAAATGTAAAAACAACATGTTCTGACATTTTCGCTAATTTGAAAGTTTTCGTGTTTGCGAATTCATTAAAGTAGACACCTGTATAATTGTTCGAACATCGTTTCCATAGTTACGGCCTAAGAAGAGCTGGTAAATATAGTGACCTACGAGAAAGTACATATTAAATGTAAAAACAACATGTTCTGACATTTTCGCTAATTTGAAAGTTTTCGTGTTTGCGAATTCATTAAAGTAGACACCTGTATAATTGTTCGAACATCGTTTCCATAGTTACGACCTAAGAAGAGCTGGTAAATAAAGTAGTTATGTGTTCATTAAGTACGTATCTGACCTACCCCTACCGAAGTTCTCTCGTTGTTTACATTGAATGTCGTGTGTGTACATTTCATGTAATGATATAAATTCGTCGATCATTATGATAATAGTATTTTTTTTCAAAGCAAGGAGTGTATGGTTTTGATGGAAACGTGCCGATTTAATAAAATATTTTCTCATCCGTTCGTGCATAGCTGCAGCTTCCCAATACACCAGTGCCATGTAAAAGAGTAAACCGACCAGCCAAGACAACAATATCAATACCAACGCTGTATACCGGTAAACAAGTTTTCCTTTACAAATTAATCTCATACCAAAAATAATAGTTTTATTAGAAAATAGACATATGACAGTGGACTGAAAAGTCGTAATCACAACCTCTGACTACTTGAGTTTGAATTACAACATAGTTGTCAGCTTTTTCCGGGTCAATCAACTTGAATCGCATATACATTTTTGTCTGTTTTATTATCTTATATAATTTAAAAGGCAGTAGTCGTCGTGCTGCGCATGTGCGACATTTGTGTTGATAAAAATTGATTTTCCCACAAACCAATGCGCTCATCTCATGGAAATCACAAGTATGAGGTTTGACCTTGGTGCAACTTGCACTAATTACCGCCTGCGAGTCCTTCGATACTTTCCAATCGCCTAAAAAACATCTAATTAGAGTTTTATAACGTCTCAGTTTGTACTCGTTGATCTGCGCAACATTCAAAGTCGCCATCTTTGTTTATATGAGACCCATATATCTCGCGCATGCGTGGGGCGACGACTATCGGCCTTTAAGGTTAAATGTACTGCCACAAGTGGCAT